ACGACAAGGTGACAGAGGCCACCCCCGTGACGAATTAAGCTTTTTTGGGTCAATGCAAGCCATTTGGTATTTGTTGGCGATTGTGTGAAGCGGGCCATCGGGTGGCCATCCTCGATTCAAACATGTGACGCGTATGACTGTCTAGCGTGCGAAGCCGCGCCATGCTGTGTGCCGCGCCTTTGAAGTTGCTTCCTCGAGCAACGCCGTGGGGACGCATGGAATCAAGTCGACGCCGTCGATCGCGAAGGCGGCGATTTCACTCGAGTCGCTGGACGCCCGTGGTGGGCGCTGCGAACCGTGCGAGTTCGGCCGTTGACTTGACCGCGTACGTGTACGTGTGGGCGTTCGTGACAGCGCAGACCAAGTAGCGGTCGTTGGCTAGCGGAGCTTTGACCCACTCGCCCGTATGTGCGACGACGTGGCCGACAAAGAGATCGTGTTCCGGGCAAAACCCATACACTTCATCGAGAACGAGTGGTGGCTGCGACAGGTCCAAATGGCCTTCGATCCAGAGATGCGCACGATCGTCATCGCCGCGACGCCAGGCGGCCGTGTCCTGGCTCGCCGTTGGGTGGTCGACAACAACGATCGACGTGCACCGGCCGCGCATGTCGGGGGCACGTGTGTCGCTATAGCTGGTGTCGCACATCACGACTTGAAACACACCCGGCGGTGGATGGTTTCGCGTCACGCGATGCTTGACGATGGTCGGCGTGTTACCGTGCGGCGTGTGGCCCACCAACATGCGGCGATACCCCTGCGCCCACAGCACGTCCGTCAGCTTCTGGGGCATGAGCTTGGGCATTCCAGACGGCTCGAGGTGGCGGCCCGCAATCACACTGTACGCCGCGCCAGTGTTGACGTAGTGCTGGAGGTTTTCACCGCCTACACGTTTGGATCAAGACGCCGTGTTCTGGCATGCACATCCGTCGACGCTCGCATCTCGACGCTCGACTCGCATGTTCAGGATGAGCATCCACAGACAAGTTTGCGACACCACGACAATCGACGGGACCTCGAACGACTCGCCAAACACGGGCGACCCCCGACCGCAGACATGCTGCGGGAACAGATACGCAGCAACCACACAAAGGCGCAAAACGACGAAAACAACGTGTGTGGCGAGCTCTCGGCTCCGGCGCCATGGACACCCCACACACACACTTTGAACGCATCGACTTCATGGCCAGCAACGACAGTTGAACGGATCGAGTTGTCAGGATGTCGCACACTCGTCAAGTATGGACAACCAAGTCGCAGAAAGCGCACACACGTGTCCAGATGGGCGTCGACAATCAGTGGCACACGCTGCGTCGTCGGCAAGGTTGGGACGACATACCTCGAAACGTGTGGTCAGCATTCCACGTCGGAAACCGCTCCCACTCGTGGAGTTGGGCACGATACCATGCATTGAGCTCGTCCATCCAGCGACCGACGTCGACGGTCGCATCGATAACTGGGCCCGACGCATCGATAGCCGCCACCCATTCTGCGTACGACGTGTGCGAATCCACGGGCGGCACGCGGCCAAGGCAGCAACGCACACCGTCGTCTTTGGCTGCGAAGACGCCGCCATGGACGATCAGAGTCGACCCCAGGGCGATGCCCAACACACACAGCTTGAGGTACGTCCGCACGATCCCGCCGTCGTCCACACTCGACCGAAACGAGCGCAGCACGTCGTCGTCCGAGATCGATTCGTCGGCCGCGCATCCACGCAGGAACGCGAGTTCCGAGCGCCGACGTTCGAAATCGCCGTCGGATCCCATCGTGCACGCAAGGATCCATTTGATTCGATTGACCTGGCATGGCACACACCATTGTCAATGGCCGTTGACACCAGCGCACACTCGTTCAAGTCCGTCACAACCACGCATCCAACAGGGCTACCCAGCGATGCATCGCCATCGTTGCCCACATGCATGCGGGACCACAGCTGAGCTCGACCTGTTTGAAACACGATTGTCGAGAGGGCTGCATTGGACTCGTTGGTCCAATGCCGCGCGATGCTTCGCGCCGACGTTTGGCTTTACGGCGAAGAAGAATCCACCCGCAAGATGAAGAAATACGACACAGCCACACATGCCACGCTCCCCGCTCCAGTCACCAGCCTGAGCGATGTTTCATCGGGACGTACAGGGGTGTTGACGGAAGTCAAGTCGACCTCGGTGACGGGAGCTGTAGTTGCAGCCTGGGCGTCGAGCAACTGGGTCAGATAAGGCACAATGCCCAAATGCTTGCGACTGGCTTCGGGGATCCAATGCGGACCGTCTTTTATACCTACGTGGGAAATGTCATGGTGCTTCTTCGCCAAATGGGACGACGTCGGGTCACGACAACAGCCGAGCGCCATGAGTCGTGGGGACGTAGTGTACCTGGGTCCATCGTGGCCAAGTTCATCTCGGCGTCGGTAAACTCGGACGTCCACCGCATTTTGTTGACATCTCGATTGCCTGCAATCAGCACCACGCGATCGGGATATCGTTGCTTGGCGTCCACGAGAAGATGGACGAGTCTACAACGTTGAGTTCTCATCGAACGAATGAAAGTAGAGGCAAGAGGTGTACCGAAGCGTGCCGTTGCCTTTGTCTCCAACATCGCCACCGAAGACAAAGATGTATCCCGGTTGAAGGACCAAGCGGCCGTCGACTAGCGAGAGCGCGCCGGCGGAATGGGGACTCGTTGCAACGGTGCGGACGAAGCGGAGAAAGTATTCCCAGTTGCCCTCGACGTCCGTGACGTACAGGATCTTCATCTCGTTCTTGTCCCAATCAACGGGGCACCGACGGCGTCGTCCGCGGGCGTGGAAACCGTGCCAAGTCCGAACTGGTCCGGCAACAAGAACGTGGGTGTCAATTCGAATATTTTAAATAAAATCGCACATAATCACTTACAAAATCTAGGATGATCCATGGCACATTTTTTTAATTGAACCACTCCTCCATTTCAACATTGGCATCCCATCGGACAACACAGACCCAAGGCGAGGCAAGCAACCATCGAGTGGGTCGGCAAGGCAGGTGCTAGCAGGGCGGCATGGGTGCGAGAGCAGTCGTTGTACGTACATGACAGATTGACGCCGTGCGAATGTTCCAACTGTGAAGCGACGCGTGTCGCCCAACCCGACGGAGAGAGAGCCAAGTGGGAACCAAGGTAAGTGGCACACGTAGGTGCGACTTGACAGCGATGACGGACTCGTGGATGACTTTCAACGTCCGTGCTATGTCAATGCACGGATGATGCACGTTGTTGTCGCAAGAAACTCGCGGTCGAGATACCCCACCTCTCCGTCCCTCGCGTGGCTCGGGCCAAGATTTGTCCAGCCTACCGTAGTTACTTCAAATTGCTAGACGGCGTTTAGCGCGTTGGTACAGTCGTGGTTTGTTGTGTCCGAGGTCGTGGTTTCGATCTTCGGTGGCATTTCACAGCCATGGCATATTCCCCTCCCGGCTGAGGATGCCGGCCATCAAGGCAGCCCACAGAACAGGTAGCAGCAAGCGCACCATCACCCTCCACACAACTCCACCTTTGCTACAGACCGGGCGGGACGCATCCCTTGCCCGTTGAGGAGGACGATTGTGATGCTGAAGCGCCCAACGAAACCTCTCCAATTCAATCAAGCGCCACGACACGAGCGTCCGGCGCAGAGCGAAGCCAGCCAGGGAGCCTCGCGCCTGCGTCAGATCTAAATCTGACGAAGAGGACTCCATGTAGTCGACGTGGCATCACCGCGATCGG